GCCTTGGGCGCCACTTTGCAGGGGGCGGCAAAAAAAAGCATCCCTCCAAACCCCCAGGCAGATCCCTTGCTTGCCTCGCATCCTGGGGGGCTCAAGAGCTGACCGGGCTGGCCACTTTTGAGCCCCCCCAAGGCTGGCAGCGGGCAGCGAAGGAGCATACTCACCTGAGCTCTTCCTGCTCAGCTTCCTCTGCGCCGCTTAATGAAGCCGGGAGCCAGAATATGACGTCAGTCCGGCTCCCGGCATCACTAAGCGCTGCTTACTCAGCCTGTGCGCCCCCTGCCTGCCTGCCCAGCAGCCACACTGGACTGCTGGTAAGAAATCCACTCCAGCTTTCCCAGGAGGCTGGGTGGATTTAAAATAAATGTAAAAAATATTAGTTTGTGAGTGTTAGTGGAAATGTCTGTGTGTGTGTCTGTGAGTGTTTATTTTGAAGTGAATGTGTGTGTGTGTGTGTGTGTGTCTGTAAGTGTGTAATTGTGTGTGTCTGTAAGTGTGTAATTGTGTGTGTCTGTAAGTGAATGTGTGTGTGTCTGTGAGTGAATGTGTGTGTTGGTCAGTGAGTGTATATGTGTCAGTCAGTGAGTGTGTATGTGTCAGTCAGTGAGTGTGTATGTGTCAGTCAGTGAGTGTGTATGTGTCGTCAGTGAGTGTGTATGTGTCAGTCAGTGAGTGTGTATGTGTCGTCAGTGAGTGTGTGTCGGTCAGTGAGTGTGTAGGTCAGTGAGTGTGTAGGTCAGTGAGTGTGTGTCGGTCAGTGAGTGTGTGTCGGTCAGTGAGTGTGTGTCAGTCAGTGTGTATGTGTCGGTCAGTGGAGTCGTGCATCTTTCAGTGAGTGCTTGCGTCTGTCAGTGAGAGTGTGCATCTGTCAGTGTGTGTCCAAGTAATAGTGTATGTGTGTATGTCATTGTTTGTCAGTGTATATGAGAGTGTGTGTCTGTCAGTGAGTGAGCGTCTGTCAGTGAGTGAGCGTCTGTCAGTGAGTGAGCGTCTGTCAGTCAAAGTGCGGCCTTGACAGGAAGGGGTGGGGGAAATTTAAACTCGGTTACAGGCATGTACACACACACTCAGTTAAAGGCAGTCACACATACAGGCACAGGCACAAACAATGGCACAGTGACACACACAGACAGTCACATAGGCAGTCACACACACAGACAGACACACAGTAACACACACATAGACAGTTATACACACACAGGCAGGCAGTCACACAGATAGAAAGTCACATACACAGGCAGGCAGTCACACACAGACAGATAGTTACAGACAGACACACACAGGCAGGCAGGCAGTCACATACAGGCAGTCACACACACAGACAGACAGTCACACACACAGACAGTCACACAGACAGACAGTCTCACACACACAGGCAGTCACACACACGGGCAGTCTCACAGACAGACAGTCACACACACAGGCAGTCACATACATGGGCAGTCACACAGACAGACAGTCACACACACAGACAGTCACACACAGGCAGGCAGTCACACACAGAGACAGTCACACACACACACAGAGACAGACAGTCACACACACACACACACACACACACACAAGGACAGGCAGTCACACACAGTCACACACACACACACACACACAGACAGTCACACGCACACAGGCAGGCAGTCACACAGACAGTCACACACACACACAGACAGTCACACAAACAGGCAAACAGTCATACACACACACTTACCTCTTTCCAGTGGATGCAGTTGGCTGATGGGGAAGCATCTTTCCCTCTTCCTGTACAGCAGGGGCTTCGGGAGGTATTAGCCCCTTCTCCGCCTCTCGATAAGCCCCGCCTCCGCCGCTCGGTAAACCCCGCCCCCTCTGCCGCGATTTTTTTTTTTTTTAAATAGACCCGGGTGGAGAATAATTAATCCTCCAGCCAGGTACCTCTTTTAGCTCCCCTGCACTCCGGCCATGAGTGAGCTGTGTCGGCCACAGGGCGCCCCCTGTTCCATGGCGCCCTGTGCGGTCGCACAGCTCGCACACCCCTAAGGCCGGCCCTGGTTACGGCGATATGGTATAGTGAGAAAAATGACTGGGACATAGCAATACCAGGGTACTCTTTATATAGAAAAGGCAGGGAAGGCAAGAAAGGGGGAGTGGTGGCCCTGTATGTGAGAGATAGCATAAAATCTAGCCTAATAAAAGTTAGAGAGGCGAACATAGAGTCCGTTTGGGTTACGTTAGAATTTAGTAATCACACAGTAACTCGTGTAGGTGTGATTTATAGGCCCCCAGGATAAATAGAAGAGTTAGATAATCTACTAGTTGAGGAAATAGCTAAAATGACAATTAGTGGCGGATCCAGAGCCTGACCTTGGGAGGGGCATGTTACAAATTGCCATTTGTAACTGTTATTTTATTTGACAAATTGCCCTGCTTCCCTGTGCTATGGAGAAGCCTAATTGCCAGCCTTCTGCCCCATGACTATGGACCTAGTGTGTATGGCGATTTGACTGTATTTGTGGAATCTGAGCGCTGTTTGGATATATTGAACGCTCAGATCCAAGCCATCTGGGGATAGGTTGAATGTGGGGGTTCTGTTCAGTTCAATAGGAGTTATGTATTTTTGTGTCTTTTTGTGTCTTTTGCTAACATGTGGTTAATGGAGTCTGCCTCTATCCCTGGATAATTGGATTACTTTCCCCATTGTCCAGGATAGAGGCCTCTGTAAAACCGGTTTGGGCCAGAAAACCATGCTGCCAGCCAGGCCCCAAAAGACACTTTTGCTAACTTTTGAACCCCTTGTCTGATTTGTGCCATTTTTTAATATGTTGCTCTCCTTAATGGATTGATTCCAAATATGTAATTTTTATGAAGATTGGATGTGTAGTTTGGAAGTTATAGCACATGTATAAAAACTGTATTTTTACTGTTCTGTTTTAATTATGTTATGTGATTATCTGAGGGATGGGAATTTCCCCGACTGTATATTGTTTCGATTGGTTATACTGCTAATTATGTGGGTGTCTCCCTTGCATGGGCAGAATCTCATAAAAGCAGAGTGTGTGCCATTAAACATCAGATCTTCTTGACCCTCAATACGTAGCCTTGTCTCGTTATTGGAGGGAACTGCTATATCACACTGGGGATTGCTATGCTCTGCATACTCCCCTGAGCTTTTAATCACTTAGCTCTTTTAAGAGCTGTTCCTGTTACGCTCTCCTGGAGGAGAGGTCTTCCCCACACGGTCCTGGAGGACAGAAGCTGATCCAGGGTGGAAGGAAGACGGCGAGACTCCAGTTAAGCTACGGCGGTTGTGGAGTCTGCGGTGGTTGTGGTGTCTGCTGCAGTGTTTGGAGTCCTCAGGAAGCGCTAGGAGCATCCATCAACGGAGGGTACTCGGTCGGAGTACAGGGAGCTCCGTTACATTGGTGGCAGCGGTGGGATGGCGTCCTAGTGCGAGGAGAAGCAGCTCGGAGACACTGGTATCGTATGAGAGGTTATTGAGGGCAACGCTAGCCACTGTGCAGCGTCCCTAACTACAGCAGCATGGAGCAGGGATGGATAGAGCCCTGCGAAGAGCACCTCAACATGATACGTCGCTACGAGGACGACGCTTACATTGAGGAGGTAAAGAGGCGGTTGGTCTGCTATGGCCCAGACCTTTCGAACGAGGTGGTCCACCAAGTAATGCGCCAGTTGAGTGCTGAGAACAGTGCGGCAATGGCCTTTGAGCGACAACTGTGGAGGTTGAGGATATGGACACCTAGTCTCCAGCGGCAGTGCAAGTTACAGGGAGCCGAAGGTGTCGTCCTTCCTCCCCAGCGGCAGTGCAAGTTACAGGGAGCGAAGGTGTCGTCCTTCCTCCCCAGCGGCAGTGCGAATTCCAGGGGGCCGAAGGTGTCGTCCTTCCCCCGCAACAGCAGCAGTGTGTCCTACAGGGAGCAGAGACAGTTGGTCTCTCTCTCCAGCAGCAGGACATTGTTATGGGAGTGGAGACAGGCGGTCTCCCTCTCAAGCGGCAGCCTGTGTTTCAGGGAGAGGAGCACAGCACCCTATCTCCCCAGCAGCAGCTTACCCCACCAAGGGGAGATACCAATCTCCCAGCTGGCGCAGAGGGGACCGTGGTCTCTGTGCCCGACCTACAGGGATGCTGGACAGCCTGTCCAGATCCCCAGCTACCCTCACAGGGACAACAGGAGGAGGGGGTAAGTACGAATTCCCCTCCCCAGCTAACTCCTAACTTGGCCCCAGGGTTAACAGAGGAGATGTTAACCCCCACTGACTCCCATGTTCCCCTGGCTACTGAGCCGGACTATGTTCCCAGCACCCCAGCGGAAGAGCTGGCAGCTGGGCAGAGTGCAGTCGGCCTCTGCCCTCCCTGTGTCCCTTGTACAGAGCGTGACATTCTGCCGGCTACCCCAGCGGAAGAGCTGACATCAGGGCAGAGCGCCGCTGGCCTCTGCCCTACCGACCCCCTTGTTACAGGACTGGTCTGCAACCCCCTCTCCCCAGCAGAAAGTGCGGGCATCAGGGCAGAGCGCCGCTGGCCTCTGCCCCCCAAGTACCACCAGCTATTTGCCCAGCTGCACCAGGAAGGCAGAGGATGCTGCATTTTCATCCTACAACCTGGAACCTACAGGCCAGTACTGTTTATTGTGGGGGGGCTACTTTGCTACTTGTTATTTGTGGGTGGGCTGCGAGACTAACTTAGGCACTGACCGACAGGAGGTCAGGTGCCTGGTTAGTCTCCCTCCAAAAGGGGAGATATGTTACAAAGTGCCATTTGTAACTGTTATTTTATTTGACAAATTGCCCTGCTTCCCTGTGTTATGGAGAAGCCTAATTGCCAGCCTTCTGCCCCATGACTATGGACCTAGTGTGTATGGCGATTTGACTGTATTTGTGGGATCTGAGCGCTGTTTGGATATATTGAGCGCTCAGATCCAAGCCATCCGGGGATAGGTTGAATGTGGGGGTTCTGTTCAGTTCAATAGGATTTATGTATTTTTGTGTCTTTTGCTAACATGTGGTTAATGGAGTCTGCCTCTATCCCTGGATAATTGGATTACTTTCCCCATTGTCCAGGATAGAGGCCTCTGTAAATCCGGTTTGGGCCAGAAAACCATGCTGCCAGCCAGGCCCCAAAAGACACTTTTGCTAACTTTTGAACCCCTTGTCTGATTTGTGCCAGTTTTTAATATGTTGCTCCCCTTAATGGATTGATTCCAAATATGTAATTTTTATGAAGATTGGATGTGTAGTTTGGAAGTTATAGTACATGTATAAAAACTGTATTTTTACTGTTCTGTTTTAATTATGTTATGTGATTATCTGAGGGATGGGAATTTCCCTGCATGTATATTGTTCCGATTGGTTATACTGCTAATTATGTGGGTGTCTCCCTTGCATGGGCAGAATCTCATAAAAGCAGAGTGTGTGCCATTAAACATCAGATCTTCTTGACCCTTAATACGTAGCCTTGTCTCGTTATTGGAGGGAACTGCTATATCACACTGGGGATTGCTATGCTCTGCATACTCCCCTGAGCTTTTAATCACTTAGCTCTTTTAAGAGCTGTTCCTGTTACGCTCTCCTGGAGGAGAGGTTTTCCCCACACGGTCCTGGAGGACAGAAGCTGATCCAGGGTGGAAGGAAGACGGCGAGACTCCAGTTAAGCTACGGCGGTTGTGGAGTCTGCGGTGGTTGTGATGTCTGCTGCAGTGTTTGGAGTCCTCAGGAAGCGCTAGGAGCATCCATCAACGGAGGGTACTCGGTCGGAGTACAGGGAGCTCCGTTACAGGGCACTTGCAGATTATTTAGAGAAATAATCCAGACACAATACCCACTACAGCTCAGTGTAGTGGTTATGGTGCCAGTAGTGCCGGGACCCCCTCCCAGAGTAAGTAGGCCATCCGTTGAAGAACAGTTTGACAACTTACCTGAGGTCTGCTTGGAAATGGGGGTGTAGTAGGGCATAGGAGCAGGGGTGCAGTGTGTGTGTGTTTGTGTAAGAAGGACTGTGTGAGCAGTGTGTGTGTGTGAAAGTTGCAGTGTGTACGTGAGGACGGCAGTGTGTGTTAGGGTGGCAGTGTGTGTGTGTGTGTGTGTGTGTGTGCGTTGCAGTGTGAGTGGGGGGCAATGTGTGTATGGGGGGAAGTGTATGTGTGTGTATGGGGGCAGTGCATGTGTGTGGCAGCAGTAGTGCATGTGTATGGTGGCCAATGTGTGTGTAGGGTGTGTGTGTATTGGGGGCAGTGTATGTGGGCAATGTGTGTGTATGTGGGCAGTGTATGTGTGTGGGAGCAGTAGTGTATGTGTATGGTGTGCAATGTGTGTATGGGGCAGTGTATGTATGTGGGGCAATGTGTGTGTATGGGCCAGTGTATGTATGTGGGGGCAGTGTGTGTGTGTGTGTGGGGGCAGTCTATGCATGTGGGGGCAGTGTGTGTGGGGGCAATGTGTGTGTATAGGGGCAGTCTATGTATGTGTGGGGCAATGTGTGTGTGTGGGGGGAAGTGTATGCATGTGGGGGGCAATGTGTGTGTGGGGAGGCAGTGTATGTGTGTGTGTAGGGTATGTGTGAAAAGGATGTAAAATTTTATGTTTTTTATTTGATACAATGATTTTTTATTTATTTAAAATATAGATAATGTCCCCCTCCCTCTTACCTTTGTTAGGAGGAGGGGGGGACATTTCCTCGATCCCTGGTGGTCCGGGTGGGAACTGGTGGTCTGATGTGGTGAGAGTGAACTCTAGCCCCAGTCTCCAGGGCTAGAGTTCACTCTCGCGAGATCCGGAGCATTGCCGTGGCAACGCTCTGTGCTCGCGAGACAAGGACCTGGAGGAGCAGACTGAGCTCCCCCGGGTCCTCTCTCTCTCCCTCCCCTGCCGGCGGCCAGCAAACAGTGCCTGCGGACCACAGAGGGAGATCTCTGATCTCCCCTCCGGTCCATGAAGGCACATTGCAAGGCTGGCGCAGGGCTGGCGCATGGCAGGGCTGGCGCTTGGCCCTGCATTAGCCGGCAGGGGAGAGGGAGAACCTCGGATTCTCGGGGGGGCAATTGCCCCGTTGCCCCCCCCCCTGGATCCGACAGTGATGACAATGAAGGGGGACTTTAATCTCCCTGATGTGAATTGGAAAACCAAAATGGCTGCTTGTGCCAGGAGCACACATATTCTAAACTCCCTGCTGGGATTGTCTCTAAAACAAGTCATTGAGGAGCCAACTCGTAAAGAGGCCATACTAGATGTTTAGGATCCAGTGATCAGTCAGTGTGGTTTAATATAAGAACAGTGACTGAGTCACACAACACAAAAACAAAAGTTTTAGACTTTAGAAAAACAGACTTTTCTAAAATTAGAATATGTGTAAAGGAGTCATTATCATACAGGAGCAATTTAAATGGATCCAAGAGAAATGGGATTATTTAAGAGTTGCACTGCTGAAGGCAACAGAAAATTGCATTAGGCTTGTCAGTAAAAGCAAAAAATTTAAGAAACCACTGTGATACTCCGCAGATGTGGCCAAAATAGTAAAAAAAAATAAAAAGGTAGCATTTAGTAATTATAAAAAAACCCAGAGTGAGGAAGACAAAATGATCTATAAGATTAGGCAGAAATAGGCTAAGCAAGTTATAAGAGCTTCCAAATCACACACAGAAGAGAAAATAGCACAGTCAGTAAAAAAGGGGGACAAAACATTTTTTTAGGTACATAAATGAGAAAAGAAAGGTAAAACAAGGATTAGTTAGATTAAAAACAAAAAGAAGGAATGTATGTAAAAAAGGATAAAGGTCTAGCTGACTGCCTCAATGAATATTTGTGTTCAGTATTTACAGATGAAAATGAAGGAAAAAGGACAAATGAGTCATTTATTACACGTGAGTTTACAGAGGAAGAGGTTCTATTTCAACTGTCAAAAGTAAAGACAAATAAGTCAATGGGGCCTGATGGAATACACCCAAAGCTATTAAAAGAGCTTAGTGGTGTACTAGCAAAATCATTAACAGATTTATTTAACCAATCATTGTTAACAGGAGTAGTCCCAGAAGATTGGAAGTTAGCGAATGTTGTGCCCATTTACAAGAAAGGTAATAGGGAGGAGTCATTATAGCACATTGGAGGATTGTTTGTTTGTTTTTTATCAATGAGGATTTATATACACACATCATATGTGACATAAGTTGAGGTTGTTGAGTAACATGGTTTCCCTGGGGAAACTTCTTGGTAATATAAATACACCACTTTATCTTACAGCTGAGGGCTAGCATTGCTGTACCTAACAGGGCACTTAAGTATTCAACTTAGATGGGCAATGAAAGTAAATTATAAAATTCATCAGATTATTGTGGCACTCGAAATTTGTAAACTTTTTTGAGTATCTTTTCTTTATTCCATATGATTTTTTTTAGGAGATTAGCCCCTTAAACCTATTTTATAGCACTGAGGTATCAACACTAAAGGCACAGTAACTTTAGCTATGGGTCACTTAGTATTATTCTAAAAGAGATATTCACATTTAAGGAAATTAATTTAAAGATTAGATACATGGAATCTACCAAATTAACTAGATTTATTTAGTTGTTGGAGTATTTGAATTGTAGTTCTTTTCAAATAGCTTATTTTTAAGACTACTCATCTGTTGAAAGTCCTAAATACTTGTCTGTATATTTGTCTTTATAAATGGGGCTGGTATATGATATTACATCAGAGGATTTTTTCTCTTCTTTTTCCCCCTCTCTCCTTTTGCTCCTTTTTTCTTCTCTGGGGCCATTCTAATCTCCAAATCCTCCCTGTGGGTTCCCTAATGGGTACCCAGAACCTGGATTAGATATTCTGAATCCATGCAGACGATTGGATATGATTGTTTTTATGTTGTTACATGTTGGTTTTATATGTTTTCATTGGTCATATATTTTGAGGGTGCGGTCAGAGAGCCCAAAAAAATAAATTAGAGATCAATATGGTTAGAATGTTATCTATCAATGCTCAGGGCCTTAAAACATATGTCAAAAGAGGCTTTTTGTATGAAACATTGATTAGGCAAAAAATTCAGGTGGCTTTCATCCAGGAAACCCACTGGATGCGTGAGGATAAGGCTCTGTGACATTATAAGAAATACCCTGTAAAGTATTCGGCATCCTTACAAGGGAAAGAAAATGTGGGGTATCAATCATATTTTCAAAAGAGATTAAATTTGATTGCTTTTATAACTTTCTAGACCCGGAAGGGAGGTATATTATATTAGTGGGCCAATTAAACGGGATACATTATACAATGGTTAATGTTTACTTACCTAATAAAGATCCGATAAAAACATTAGTTAAAATTCTTAGTTCGGTAGAGCAGGTTAAAAAGGGAAGAATTATAATCGCAGGGGACTTTAATTGTATCCTTGATACTCAAATGGATAAAAAAACTGGCAAATCATCAACAAATAGATACAGCTTTAAAGAAACAAATTTTAATAGAGCTATCAAGAAAGCAGATTTGTATGACTGCTGGAGACTATGCCATCCCAACGACATGAATTATACACATAGATCAATTCCTCAGCAAGAATAGGTTTGATGCTGGGTAATCTGAGTTTCTCAAAGGTGATTTCAATGATCACAATAGTAGAAAATACATGGTCAGATCATGACATGGTTATAACAGAAGTGTCTGACAGACAAAATAGGTTACCTTCGATTTGGAGACTTGACGATTATTTATTGAAACATAAGGTTACTATTGAACATATAGAGAGATTAATGAAATTGTTTGTTTCAGAAAATTCTTCTGAAGAAATTTCTAAGGAATGCCTCTGGTGTTCGTTTAAAACAGTGATTAGAGGCTAAGGGATTAAACTTGCTAGTCAGCGGAAACTAAAAAAGGATAGTAATTTGTCAGATCTCTATATCAAATTTTATCATTTGTCTAAGGCTAACAAACTCAATTATTCGAAGGATAAAGCTCTATCTATTAAAGACTACCAGGAAAAGATAAATAAACAGATCAGGAACAGAATAGATAGGAACTTATCAAAACTTAATATTAGATACTATTATAAGGGAAACAGAGTGGATGTAATGCTTACGAATTGTCAGGGCTTACCTGAGTTGGGAGTCCGGCAGGCAGAGATGTATGTTCACCCTTGCAAGTAAACACAGGCCGAGGTGGTCAGGTAAGAATTCACCTGGCCTGTGAATCGGTGCACGGGGGCTGTGCAGGATAATTCTCCAAGTCGCAGTACAGGAACGGATAAAGCAGGAGAATCGTTGTGGGAAGCCAAAGGTCAGAGGATGACAGAAATCAGAATAAACGAAACAACAAGCGAAGG